CCCTTAAGATTGCTGGCATGATAATTTGCCATTAAAAAGTGGTGTGTTACTAAAGCTCACCTTTTCACTCTTAAAGTCATGATAACCTGGTATACTGTCAGGGTCACTCTGGTGTTATCTAGGCTATGGGCTGAAAGCTTTTCAAAGAGAAATGTGCTACAGTCTACATTCTGGGACATTTGCCACTTGTTTCCCTTTATGTCTGCAGTGCACAGTAATCAATTTGTTGATCATTGTTAATGGGACTAGAAGCAAGTTCCTCAAGTCATGATAAATGAGCAAAAATCAAGATCAAAATCAAGAATATTACAGTACCTGCTTGATTACATTTTAGTCAGGCGGGACTGGAATTGTATTATCTTGCACTTACATACGTTGTATTTTGCTATGGCATTTTGTATTCTGGTGCTCAAAATACCACATTTCATATGTATGTAGATTAGATTCACAGATTAGTGTTTTAAAATGCCTGTGATGCTTTCTTCCGCATTTCTTGGGACATTCCCATATTTAATGTTTATTTGTTATGACACCAATTAAGACTGTGATGTAATTGTATCTGTATTTGTCTGATAATAGATTTGACTGATCTCTTTTATCATCCCTGTTGATACTACTTACTTAGTGGCTCTTGCCAGATCATTATCATGGGGCTGAGAGAACTTAGACAGCAGTGACTTTTGCAGACACCTTGACCTTTCTTTAACAGGGTATAGATGAAATCTTTTTTTAAAAATCAGTTGCACGCTACAGAAAAAATATATGCGCATTAACAATCTGCTGTTAAGAGTGCATTGTTTTTTTGTTTCATCAGGCCTGCAAAAACCCTATTTGCCTCGATCTTTCTCCAAATCATTTTAATGGGCGGCTCACCGGAAATAAAGTTGTGAATTGGGATATTAAGGTAAAGTGTTATTTTCTCGATTTGAAGTTCTTAGACTCTTCACTACAGTGGATTTAGAGCCTGTGACAAACAAGAAAATCGAACAGATCTAGAAAGCAAGAGATGTGGCTGTCCAGAGCCTCTTCTGTAGCTTGTAGCAAGATAAAGGAACATTAAGTTACAGTACAAGATATGTCCTTTTTGATCATTTTTAGTGGATACACAATGCCATATTTCTGAATGCTCTGAAACATTTTTTTTTATTGTTTTAAGTATTATCACAAAAAGTAAACAGTACTTCTGTTAATATTTCACTAAAGCATTGCCTTTGTCCATAAAAAATGTAGATCCCAAAGATGTCTGCCCCAGAGGGCAAATACTGTGAAATAAAATCTGTTTGTTGACTGCCTCATAAACAATCGTTAATATTCATTGCAGGACATGATCAACTGCATTGGAGGCCTGAACGTGCTGTACCCATTGCTGGAACAGATCAGTAATCTGAGTGGAGCGGTAAAGAGTGAAGATGCTTCTGGCTCTGAGTACATTACAACAGAATTGTGTACCCCCTCAGACGGGGACTGGGTTATTTTACCTTCAACCAAAGCTTCAGGTGAAAGTCTTATTAAGCACTATGCTGAGAAGTGAAGAAAAGAAACACAACGTTTTGGCTGTGGAGCCTTCTTTGGCTCCACACTCAAAGAAGACTCCACAGCTGAAATGTTGTGTTTCTTTTCTTCTCTTTTCAGCTTGGAATAAACCTTTTCTTGTTCGTTTGCAGCCTACACATGCTGACGCAGCTACCTACTTGAACTATTAAACACAATACTGTTTTTTTACACTTATAATGTATAATGCTTTTGTCTGGGCAGTCATTGCATAAGTCTTAAGTAAAAAAAAAGTTTTAAAGACTTTCCATACCCTAACATTTTGCAACTGTCAAGAAAGAAAACAGGAAGGTATGCATTTTTTTTTTTTCCCAAGAGGCTGGGAGTTCAGTGGGATTGTATCAGCCAGACTGTGATGACAGTGTTCCGCCAAAATGATCGAGGGTAAATGGAAAAAAAAATTGCCCCTGTGCCAACAATGGAGGCTGGTTTCCCACAAATTTAGAAGAAAAGAAAAATGATTGTTTTTTTCAATAAAAATGCAAGAACAATCCTCAAACATCCCCTGCAGCAACTGCCACACTTGACCACATACTGAAGGATGCACTTTAAATGGTCGCAGGAAATTGAAAGCTAAAAGCCCCCACAAAAAGGTACCACCTTGGGCCGTGTGGTGGCTCTGTGGCTAAGGATCGTATTCTAAGGCCGGCAGAGGAATCCTAGTCCGTTGGGCCCCTGAGCAAGGCCCTTAACCCTAACTGCTCCAGGGGCCATATAAATGGCTGACCCTGCGCTCTGACCCCAAGCTTCTCTCTCCCCGTCTGCGTGTCTCATGGAGAGCAAGCTGGGGTCTGCAAGAAGACAAATTCTAAACACAAGAAATTGTATAGGGCCAATAAAGTGATCTGAAGATCTGATCTTATCTTATCGTGTATTTAATCGCTTTCTTTTTCTCTTTCCAGAGGCCAGATTGGAAAAGAATGTCGTTGCTACATTTCTCCTGATGATCAAGCACTTCATTCAAAGGCACCCGATCAACCAAGAAAATCTTATTCACTCCCATGGAGTTGCTACCTTAGGGGCCTTGTTACAAAAGGTAAGTCCAGTAAAGCTTCAGTGAACAGGACCAAGGAGAAGACAGACCTGGATTGTTTGCAGTCCTACCTTATTCACATTTCAAAAGCAAATATTTAAACAAATGAAATAAGAACGCTAAATGAGTATTGTTTTCTAATTTCCCTGGATGTTGGTTGACTGTTACACAACTGATATGTGCCATAATTTGGAAGAATCTCATTAGTGATAACACTTACTAGAGCATAAAGATTACAAATTATAGGAGCCCATATGCCTGTTAGGTGGTGGCAAATGGCTGTATTGACTTTATCTCAACAGGCTTAAACAGAAGTTTCCCATTTAAAGCTAAAAAAAAACATACCCTAGTACTAATCCTGCTCTAGTGCTGCATATTTCCTATGCTGTCCTCTTGTCTAAATAAGCAGGCTGTGGTTTATATACAATTGAGGATGCAACAGAACTACATACAGTAAACATCTGAAATCCTTTGCCAAATTAAGTTGAACTAAAATGTGCCATTTAGGTTTTCTGCACTGTTTTGTGCCATGGTCTTTTATAGTTTAATTTTTTGCGATGGAGTTCTTTTCATATGAGCCACATAGTGAAAGTGTGGAATTTAACTCATGGATGTGACGTTAATTGAGTGCTAAGACTAAGAAGGTCTTATTTAGAATGTTGTACACATTCTCTGTTCCCTTGTTTTATAAGGTCGTTGCTTTACTGAGAATACTTGAGATTAAGGCGGATACTTTATGGGAACCTGTCTGTACACTGATAGATAGAGGACCTGCCTTCTTTAGCCTTCAGCAGGGATTACAAAGTAAAGTGAAACAAGGTGCTGAAAGGTATTTCAGAAGTGAATGCTCAGCACTGAAGCTGAAACTACTTACGCGTGCTGTGAAAGCTGATGTGTCCTGAAATCTTGCAAACTAATAGATTAGGACAGGAGACTGTTATTCAAGCAAACACAGTGTGCCTATCTTTCATTTCTACTCTTTTTTTAATTTTAGCGGCTTTTAGGTCTATATTTTTGGTTTTTGATAAATGTTAAATCAGGGTTGTTTAATGAGTTATTTTAGATAGAGATAATATCACCCCAAAAATTAATTCAATTACAGAGGAATACTCACAAAGCTACTGGTATTTTTTAATTGCTACAATAACAAAGTGATATTTCTTGAAGTGTATATGAAACTCTTGCTTTGGGGCTACAGTGTGCCCCTCAAGGAGACAGTTCTCGAGCATCTTGCGGTTTAGAAAATGTATTTTTCAATGCCGGATGCCGGGCAACTAACACAGATGTATTTTTTTTTCCCCTGCCAGCTGCCAAGCAGCTTGGTGGATGTGAATGTGTTAGTGGCTGTTCAGCTGCTGACAGAGCAGGTGTCTATAGAGACGAACCCCCAGCTGTTGCAGCAGATGTACCACCACCTTCTCTTCAACTTCAACATCTGGAATCAGGGAGACTTTCCTCTCAGAATCGGTAAGTGAGAGGAACTATGTGGGATCTGTCGTTTTGTGGGTGTACAATGCACCATTTATTTCTTTGGAATGAGCTCTTAATTGGGTAATTCTGTTCTTGTACCACCCCTTTACTAAGATAACTGTCAGTTCCTCCTCACACGAAAGCAGCTGTATTCCTTAATTAAACCTGGAGTACAGGATGTTTTTTATAGTTTGACACATATGTGTTACACATTTCTGCTTCATGAACAGCGGCTTTGTTTTAACATAGGGTTGAAATTCTTGGTAGCATGCCGATTTCTGCTTCCTGTATGTGCTACAAGATAATTTGCTACATTAAATGTCGGCCATGTGTTTGCCCAGCTGGCTACATCTTAATTTCCCTTTCAGTTTATGCAGTTTGCTAAGCATCCTAGTTTGGTATGATCTACGAACTTGACTGGTTTAAGAACCAAAATCTAGATAAATAATATAAAAATATAATTGTCCTAATACGGATCTCTATGGTATTTCACTAATTACTCCGATGTGACCGTTCACATTATCTGTAAATTACCAGTTCTCAACCAAAAGTTTTGAATTCCGGTGTTGCCTTGAATTCCTACTGGAACAGGTAATAGATTTATTCCATGCTGAAAAGAGAAGAAAGAAAACACAACGTTTCGGCCTTCTTCGGGTGTGAGAAAGACAGGGCAGTAAGCAAAGGTAATGTAGCGGGAGATCAAGAGCTGGGAGAGAGGAGGAGCGAGAGGCGGGAGGAGGGGACAGGCAGAGTGGGCAATCAGGTGGTGTGGAGTCAGGATAGGTGAAGAGAGAAATGAAACCTACAATGAATAGAGAGAATTTAGAAGAAAAGTAGTCTGTCGTTAAGAGAAGGGGGAAGGTGTGATCCTAGCTGCAGGATCATTTTGGTTTCTGTAGTCTTTCTG